CCACCCTGAACCAGGACACCCTTCAGGCAACCATCCATCCCCCACCCATGCACCAGGCCTCTATCCTATATAATAAAAGGATAATATGCAAATTGACCCTAACAGAAAGACTGGGAATGACTGGTCACTATGACACACACTGACCACCAGGGGCCAGACGCTTAATGCAGGAGCTGCCCCCTGGTGGTCAGTGTGCTCCCACAGGGGGAGCTCTGCTCAGCCACAAGCCAGGCTAACAGCTGCCAGTACAGTGGTGGTGGTGGGATCCTCTCCCACCTCCTCAGCAGCGCTAAGGATGTCCGACTGCAGCTTAGGCCTGCTCCCCGCTGACAAGTGGCCATCCCCCGAGGGGTCCCAGACTGCGAGAGGACACAGGCCGGGCTGAGGGACCACCCCCCCGCCCCCGAGTGCACAAATTTTTGTGCACCGGACCTCTAGTATTAGTATATAATACTTGCCTCATGAAAGGGTTGTAAAATATGATATGCAATGTCATAGGTTGACTCAGAAATGTCTAAATATTTATCATGGGATTTATGGATAGAATTTACATTCCAGTCTGAATATACTTATAGCAGTTATTAGATTTCTTTATGTGAGCATCATCAAATTCATTTTTGTAACCTTAAAAGCTGATTTCCATACAATGTATGGCTGTTTTCTACTCTTTATTAACATTTTCTTTATTCACCTATTTGCTTGTGCCAATTGATCAGATTACTAGTAAAGTCGTATACACTCATGTCTTCTAGTCCAACTGGAATGTCTTTGGACCATTTTTTTTTTCAAATTCCCAGTGAAAGCAGGTCTATGCAATGTCCATAATGGACAATCAATTAACACTTATTGGTCTTAAAGGCTGATGAAAAATTGAATTGGATGGAGTGTAGGAACTAATTTATTTATGTTCACTTTGACCCCATAACTTAAGTAGCTGAGGATTGAATGTATTATTTGGCTTACATTAAAACCATCAAGAATTTTTTAGACAGCCATCATTTTGGTTTAACCAGATTCCCCACTGAAAACAAATTCTCCAGTTTCAATCCCTTCAGGAGATTTAAAGAAAATTCCACAAGCCCCAGCTCGCCTTGCATTATTCCTCATGGTTTATCTTTTCTGTAACCTAATGAAAATGGCAAGATTGGGGGAAGTGTGGGTATCTGTATATTCTGAAACAAAATAAGAGTTCTTTTCTTACTGGGACGGTGTTAAAAGCAAGCTCAAACTAGGCGACATTCATATTACTATCTCCATGGTGTGGAGAAAAGACTTCAAGTCCAGACCAAAGTGCACGTCATGAGGAGCTGTGGGCCCGAAGGCCCGGCTGTGTTTGCAGCATTGTCCAGGAGGTGATTTCAGATCTAAAGAGTTACTGCATCTCGATGGCCAGGTAGAGTATGAGAATTTCGGGTGCTTGAGAATTGTAAGGGACATGGAGGGACCATTCAGTCTCAAGTTTTCGTTTTACAAATCAGGGGAGTGACTCTTAAAAGGTGTTCTGTGGTTCATTCAGGCAACAACTCAACATCACACCAAGACAAAAGCCCCATCTCCACTCTGCAAACCCTCGAGCTCTGCTTTGTCCTTGTCTGTCTGGGGCTAAATTATTTAACAACAGTGGCAACAAAAGACACTCTTTACTGACAAGTCAAATTATGTTTTAAATTTTGAAATTAGTTGTGATACACAAAAGAAGACTGAATTTTCCACCAGGTCGTATTCGAAAGCATTGATCAAATGCCTTTCAATGAATAAATAGGCTGATGGGAATTGGGAAGCACCAATTACTGAAAGTTGGGGACACAACAGTTGGTGCTCTATGTAGAATATAAAACAACCTCCTTTGAAATAGCATGCATGTATAGTGGTAAATATGCCTCTTTTCATGCTGGTACTTCATACTTTATTGCATTTATCTCCCTTAAAGGTCATTTCAAGTTCTGTGCTCTATAACTTTCCCTTTATCATCTACTCCTCCCAGCGTGCACCACGTGGGCATCTGCAAGGTGACAGAGAAAAGGTCATCTCTCTACTATGCATAGAAGTCTGATTACAAAGTTAGGACCTGTCAATCATTAGTTGATCATGCTTGAGAATCTTCAGCATGAAGGAACAGGAGTAGAAGAAAGCAGCAGAGCTGGAGACTATTACCTGGAAGTGGTTTGCATTCGGACCAGTGTGCTTGCATGTTATCAAAAGATTGTGGCCATTTCTGATCAAATCCTGGTGAGGCAGCAAGGCCAGGTTAAAATCCAGACCTGGCAGTTACTACCTACATTTCAGAAAAAGATGAACTTGCAGAACTCTTTTGGTCTTTGGAACTAGGATGTATATGACACTTAATGCTTGGCACATGGTAGGTATTCAGTGAACGGTAACTGGTGTCAGCTTTATTATTCACCTCCTAAGTGAATTATTGCTTGTCATGTATATAGATATTTCTTGGCAGAGCAATGAACGGAAGCCATGTCTCATTTTGTTTCTCTTGCCTTGTCAAGAGTCAGTGACATAAGAGGATGAGATTCATGGAGGATTCATGTTTGTTCCCAGATCTGCTGCCCGGCCTACTGCCTGCCTCTATGTGTAAAATATGGGTCGTTAATAGCACATAATTTACTGGGGAGTGCTACCGATTCTTATATGATGGACAATGATAGCATGGAGGACAATGTTATTGGAAACTTTTGTGATTTGTCTTTAGGTCTTTGTCACGATATCACTACCTTGTGTTCTTAGGGATGATATTATTTGTCATTTTAATCAGAGAAGGCACATGTGTGAAATGTCTTGCACTCAGCAAGTGCAGTGGAAGTTCATTTGGGAAATTCACAGGAAAGATGTTGTCAACATAACCCAAGAGTTTCCAGAAAGATGCAGAGGAGATACTCTGACAGGCTTATGAAGAATTAAGTCCCTATATAAGCAAATTTTCATGCCTCAGGGAGCCACAGGCTTTTTGTTCAGTCTATTACTATTGCCCCAAATGATTCATTTATAATTTCATTCAGTTTTATTAGATAACTAGAGGCCTGGTGCACAAAATTCATGCAAGAATAGGCTTTCCACCCCCCAGCTGCCGATACTGGCTTCCCTCCGGCACCCGGGACCTGGGCTTCCCTCACAGCCCCTGCTTCATCCAGAAGGTTGTCTGGAAGGATGTCCGGTCTAATTAGCATATTATGCTTTTATTAATATAGATTATTTTTTATTAGATAATTGCCCCCAATTAGGAAGGCTTATAAAAAAACAGATAGAAATCATTAGTTAACAGGGTGTGAACTTATTTATTGGGCTTTTCTAACATATCAAGAAGCTAAACAGATCAGTGTTTGAAGAGAATAGGGGTGTGGGGTACTTAGAAACAGAAGCTACTGAAAAGATAAGGAGTCTCGAAATATAATGTCAATGTTGCCACAGTTCTGGGAAGAGTGAACCATCACTAAAAAGCAAAAATATAATCACAAAGTCGTAGCGTGGGATCAACCTGTGACGCCACCTCCGGAAGCTGCTGGACGCTTGGACAACCATCGGGTTTCCATACACAGTCACATGCCATAGATCATAAAATGTCAAAAATGTGTAACTTTTTCACTTGTCCTTAGATTACCTGTTCACCTGTAGCTGCCTTTCCCTGTGGGGATGTTCAACATAAGTTGAAATTGGATAAACTGAATTCATACCCTGGAGTGTTTTCCAGAAGCAAAGAGACCCTGTTGGCACCCACCACTGCTCTGCACTTTCCCAAACAGTAATTCCTCAGTTAAAACAGGAAAGAAACTCAGACACTGAAAGTCTGTCCTGCTTTGGTTGTTACTTGGTATTGAGTTTCAGAGTTCCTCCCACTCTATCCAAAACCAGAGATGCATGTTTACAAGGATTAGAAATATGTGGCCAGGCTCATGGAAAGGCCACCATCAAATCAGATCACGTGACATAACATTTACTAGCTCGTTCTTATGTACTGTTGTCTTCAGTTTCTTTCAGGTATATCTTTGGAATTCCTCCCCTGATCCTCGTTCTGTTGCCAGTCGCGTCATCTGATTGTGAGATCGAAGGTAAAAGCGGCGAAGAGTACCAGCATGTCATCATGGTCAGCCTCAATGACCTGGTATGTGCTTCTTCTCACATTTTAACTCATTGGGAAAATGTGATAGATACTGTCGCTATGCAGTTTTATATAGTCAAGTATCCATTTATAATTATTGAAAGTGAAATAACTAAGGGATGAAATTCAGTGAGCTACTAATTATATATTTTCATAGCTGGCAATCATTACATCCTTTAAAAATAATTCTTTCCTAGACCTTCAGACTCCCACAACTGCCCATGTCAGCCCTACTGCCCTTCACCATCAAATTTCTCATGAGCATAATGTAACATCACTGTCTGCATTTCCTCACCTCCCATTAACAGCCAGTCTCTCTGGAACCATTATATCAGGAGAGGGAAAATAACAGAACATAACATTGAAAAGGTATCATGGAAAGAGATACATAGCTATTTTATTTTTATCTGAATATGTGAACATATATACCAGCATAGTATGTATTTTATATAATTTGCTATGAGTAAATTTTTCTATTTACTATGGACAATTTTTTATAATAGATTTTATTTTAGAACAGTTATGAGTTTACAGGAAAGATGAGCAGGAAGTAAAGAATTCCCAGATGCCCATTGTCCCTCTGCACAAGCTTCCCCATTATTTACATCTCGTATTTGTGTGGTACATTTGTTACGATTGATTGAACCAATCTTGATACATTATTATTCATTAAAGCTGATAATTGACATTAGGTTTTGCTCCTTGTGTTGTACATCCCGTGGGTTTTCACACATGCAAAATGTCATGTGTCCACCACTACAGTGTTATACGGGATGGTTCCACTGCCCCTGACATCCCCTGTGCCGCGCTGCTTCGTCCCTCATGCCCTTCTCTTGAACCTAAGGCAACCCCGGAGCTGCTTGTGGTCTCTGTAATTTTGCCTTTCTGGAATGTCCTGTAGTTGGAGTCATGCCCTGTGTAGCTGTTTTAGACTGGATCCTTTCATTAGCAATATGTAGTTAAGGTTCCCCCATGGCTTACTGTGGCTTGATGCCTCATCCATTTTATTGTCGAATAAAATTCCATTGAATGGATGCACCTCCGTTTGTTTTTCTATTCACTGCTAGGACTTACCTTGTTTGCTCCCAATTTTTGGCTCTTATGAATAAACCTTCTATAGACATTCATGTTTAGTGCTTTGTACAGACGGACAAAGTGAGTTTTCAAATCATTTGGGTAAATAGCCAGGAGAGCAATTACTGGATTTTGTAGAAAGACCATGTGGAGCTTTGGGTAGTATAGACATTTTAATGATGTTGATTCTACTAATCCAGAAACATGGTATATTCTCTACTTGTGCCTCTATCTCCCTTTCAACATCCTGTAGTTTTCTAAGTATAAGTCTTTTACCTCCTTGGTTAAATTTATTCCTAAATATCTTAATTTTTTTGTTGCAATGGTAAATGGGATTGTTTTTCAGTTTCTCTATCTGAGAGTTCATTATTGGTATGTCATCAATATCTGTGTGTTAATTTTCTATCCTGCTACATTGCCAAATACATTTATTAAATCTAGGCATTTTTTGATGGAGTGTTTAGAGTTTTCTATTTTGCAATATCAAGTCATCTGCAAATAATGAGAGTTTTACTTCCTCCCTTCCAATTTGGCTGCCTTTTATTTCTTCTTCTTGTCTGATCGCTGTGGCTAGGACTTCCAATACTATATTGAATAAGAGTGGTGAAAGCAGACAACCCTGTCTTGTTCCTGTTCTTAGGGAACATGGTTTTCATTTTTGCCCATTGAGTATGATATTGGCTGCAGGTTTGTCATATATGGCCTTTATTATGTTGAGGTATGATCTCTCTATTCCCACTTTGCTGAGAGTTGTATCAAAAAAGGGTGTTGGATTTTGTCGAATACTTTTTCTTCATTAATTGATATGATCATGTGATTTTTGTCTTCCAATTTGTTTATGTAATGTATCACATTTATTGATTTGTGAATATTGTACCAGCCTTGCATCCTGGAATAAATCCCACTTGGTCGTGGTGTATGATCTTTTTAATGTATTGTTGGATCTGATTTGCTAATATGTTGTTGATGATTTTAGCATCTATGTTCATCAGGGATATTGGCTTATAATTCTCTTTCTTTGTAGTGTCTTTATCTAGTTTTGGAAAATTGGATAATGCTGGCCTCATAAAAGGAACTTGGAAGTGGCCCAGCCATTATGGCTCAGTGGTTGAGCATTGACCTATGAACCAGGAAGTCACAGTTTGATTCCAGTCAGGGCACATGCCCAAATTGTGGGCTTGATCCCCAGTGTTGTGTGTGCAAGAGGCAGCCGACCAATGATTCTCTCTCATCATTGATGTTTCTATCTCTCTATCTCTCTCCCTTCCTCTCTGAAATCAATAAAAATATTTTTTTAAAAAAAAGATGGAAGTATGAAGCCATCTAACCAGGGAGGTCTTTATTACTACTTCAATTTCATCTGTTGTGATTGGCCTATTCAAGTTTTCTGATTCTTACTGATTCAGTTTTGGAATATTGTATTTTTCTAGGAATTTGTCCATTTCATCCACATTGTCCAGTTTGTGGGCATCTAGTTGTTAATGGTATTTTCTTACAAACCTTTGTATTTCTATGAATCGGTTGTACTTCACCCATTTCATTTTTTTATTTTGTTTATTTGGATCCTCTCGCTTTGTTTCTTGATGAGTCTGGCTAAAGGTTCATCAATCTTCCTTATCTTTTCAAAGAACCAGCTCTTGGTTTCATTGATCTTTTATATATTTTTTTAGTCTCTACGTTGCAAACCCATCAGGACCTGGTGCTTTCTGCTTTGGAAGGCTTTTAATTATTGATTCTATTTATTTAATAGACATAGGCCAATTCAGATCATCTACTTCTTCTTACATGAATTTTGGTGACACATGATTCTTGAATCTTAAAATACATGTAGGTGTTACCAAAAGCAGCAGAACAGGTTGGGGAGAGGGTCCCTCATCAGGGAGAGGATGGGTCACCTTGAAAAGGAATGTAAATAAGAAACCAATAGGTTTGGTGTGGTTGGACTGTGGGATGCAAGGTGAGAACCAAATCCTCACAGGAAGCCCAGACCACTCAGTGCTGTGTCCACCATACAAAGGAGTCTAAGCACCAGGAAACCACGGAGGACTTTAGGGGGAAGGCATTAGATGTCAATGCCATTCTCCTAATGGCTTTTATTGATATTCCTATTACTTGGTAAAGGCTCATTATGTATTAAGTATAGAATAGAAATATTTGTCCTTTGTTTTCACTGCTGTACCAGAAAGGACTAGAACTCTCAATAAATAATTGATGAATGAATGAATGGAAAATGTAATAACACATCATATTTTGTTTACAACTTTTTGTCTGGCAACCATGTAGATAATTTGTGGGGTAGGATGGGGAGCAAGGAGACAGGAGGAAATACTTCATTAATTTAGGTGAACATTGTTGACGGGTGTAAACCAAGGTAGTGATTCACAATTTTAGGTACTTCCCAATAAACTGAAAGGTTTGTCAAGATACAAGTTGCTGGGACTCACCTCCAGAGATTCCTGTTTTTAAAGAATTTCAGTGATGTGGGAGGCCCACTGGATAATTTCATATATGACCCTCCTTATTTGAAAATAATTTATGAATCAAAGGAAAAAATTAGAATAGTCCCCTGATTTTAGTCTAACACCTAAATTCTCTTGCATCAGATCTACAAAGCCAGATCTGTGGGTATTAGCTGATATGGGTTTCCTTATTTGTTTTTCAGTGGTTAGCTCAAACACAGTAACAAAATAGAATAAACTGGACCATAAATTCAATTAGCTTTTTCAATAAATCCTCACCCGAGGATATGTTTTACTGATTTAAGAGAGAGAAGAAGTGGGGGGTGAGGGGAGAGGAGAGAGAGAGAGAGAGAGAGAGAGAGAGAGAGAGAGAGAGAAGAGAGAAGAGAGAAGAGAGAAGAGAGAAAATAAGAAAGAAGAGAGAAAATAAGAAAGAAGAGAGAAGAGAGAAACATGGATCATTTGTCTCCCAACCAGGGATCTAACCTGCAATGCTCAACTTAGTGAGCCACCCGGCCAGGGCAATTAGCTATTATTATTAAGATACACATTTTATATTAGAATCCATGATTGAACATTCATTTTAAGGATAAATAAAGCAATCTTCTGCCTCATGGAAAAATATATTTTCACTGGCTCCCTCAGTTAAATTGCTTTACTGTGAACCAGCATCGCAGTGCAGTGTGAGGGATCAGAAGACCTAATTTGCTACTAGCTTTGTTCTTAGCAAGCATTGTGATTTTGGATACCTCATCTAACCTCTTTGGACTCTTCAGTCCCTTATAAAATATGGAAATTGAATTATCCCGGAGATCTTTCATAGTGCTCAAATTTTTTGAAACATGCAAAAAGGTCACCTTTTCTTTTCTTCTTTTCTCCTTCTTTCCCTTCCTCATTTTCTTTTGTCCTGATTATTTTCCTCCTTTCATAAATATTCATCAATCCCCTACTATGTGCAATGCTCTATGTCAAGTTCTTCCAAATAATAATAACAATGATATTATTAAGTGGTCTCCAATGAACATAAAATCAAGGACCGGAGTGAAATTTATTCAGAAATAATTATCTTATAAAGCAACAAATAAGCCATACTTGCAGAGAAAAGACTATTCTTTACCCCATTGAATAGTATTGGTATCCTTTGACCATACATGTATGGGTTTATTTCTGGACTCTTCAATTCTATTCTAATATGTTTTTATTGCTATTGACTTGGAGTAAATTTTGATCTCAGGAAGTGAGAGTTCTTCTAGTTTGTTCCTTTTCAAACTTGTTTTGGCTATTTCAGGTCCCGTGCAATTCCATATGGATTTTAGAATCAGCTTGTCAATTTCTAAGAAGAAGTGAGTTGGGATTCTAATAGATTTTGTTGTACCTGTAGATCAATTTGGGGGGTACTGTCTTTTTGATAATGCATAATGATGGTTATGATCTATGAATACAGGATGGTTCTGTTTTTTTAGATCTTTA